GCTGTGTCGGCCCTGGTGCCTGGGTCGTGACCAACATGTCACTCTGCGGGTGTCAGTGTGGGGGAGCTGTGAGGGGCGGCGGGGCGCGTATGGGAGTTTCCGGTACTCCTGCCCCACACGGCCCTCGTGCAACTGCTCGTGGGAGCTTCCGATGCCCGTTTCAATGCCGCGCGTGTCGGTCCCCACACCATCAGGTGGCTCTCCGGCGCCAGCTCGGTGTCCTGCAGCTCAGCTCTCCCGTCGCTGTGTGTTCGGATGACCGTGTGCTGAGTCTCACGGCTCAGATCCCTCCTCCCCCTCCTCCCGCTTCGGGCGCCGGCCTCAGGCCCCGGCTGTCCCCAGCGCGCCTGACCAGGCCGTTGCAGGCCGGAGGGTCTGACGACCCCTTCTCTCTGCCCTGGGTTCGTCTGCTAGAGCGGCTCACAGGACTCAGATGGCAGGCGACAGCCAGATGAAGAGAAAAACAGGAGTTCCTGTCCCTGTCCCTGTGGAGTTGGGGCCCGGCAAGGTGGCGGTGGAAGCCTAATGGCTCCCCAGCCCGGCAACTCTGCGAACCCCATGCTTCTGGGGCTTCGTGGAGGCTCCATTACATAGACGTGGTAAATCATCAGTCCCTGGGGACTAACGCGAGCCCCAGCCCCTCTCCCCTCCAGGGAGGTCCCCCCTCCTCCCCACCCTCGGACCCCGGCGTGGTCCTGCCTAATGCTCGGGGGTCACCCTCTGAGGCATTTCGAACAAGGGTCTTTGTACTTCCATTTGCTCCGGACCCCGCCCGTGAAGGGCCCCTCTCCTGGGAGGGGACACTTGTACGGGCCGCGCTGGACCTAGGAGTGGCACTGGCGACGGTGTGCGTGTTCACGGCACCAGGAAGGGTCTGGTGCTCAGAAGTGAGGGGGAGCCGAGGCCCGGAGAGCCCCCTGGCATCAGCCCGCGAGCAGCCGGCGGGGTTCGAAGCCAGGGTCATGTCTGGTCTCCCTGATGCACCCTCGTCTGGCTTTTCCGTCACGTCTTCACAGTCACAATTCACACTTTAAACCAACGTTTTGAGTTTTTGAGAGGAATAAAGCAGCCCACGCCCGTGGATCGTTCACTCCAGAGGGTCCCAGACGTCTTCGGTCCAGTTCTCGGCACCCTTACGGTCCAGGCCGAGAGGGATGCTGAGCGTTTCTGCGCAGGGAGCGGTCGGCTCCCAGCACCTTCGTGGGTACCCTCGTCCGGACCACCTAGTGGGGGGAAGGAAAAACTCCAGTTACAAAACTCCTCCTTCCAGGTACAGCTACAGTGAGGTAAATCGCGTTAGCGACTGGATTTTCCTATAACGAGTCCTAAGTCAGTTATGTAAATTATAATAACGTAACCCCGAGCGGAGAGAGCCGCTGGTTTTCAGTGTAAGTTTTCTCAGTCTGGAAACTTGAATTGTACTGACGCTCGAAAGTGCGATGAGTTCCAAGAGTTAAATGGTGTGTAAACAGTCGTCCGCAGTAAGGAATTCCTTCTTTTCTTCAGGAATGCTGACATGTGGGAAACAAGCTATGATCGGGCATTCACGTAAGTCTGGTTAAATTCAGCAGACGAGAATAATCCTCTAACATAGCAAGAATCCTTCCAATAAAAAACACCACGCGAGATGTTGTTAGTCAGTTGATTTTCCGTGGCCGCGCTCACGTAGCTGTTGTCTGTCTATTTTCATTCCACGTCTCTCCAAGAAGAACGGTCGGCTAACTTGGTCTTTGATGAGGCCAGGAAGACCTCGCCTCCATTCCACTGATTCTTTTCAGAACTTCGGACTTTTAGGTGCTTATTTGAAAAAGCTGTGTCGCTGCTGCCATCTGTTGGATGACATGTGAGCCCTACTCAGACATGGGACTGAGCGTCCAGTGTCTGCCCGTCCTCCTTCCGGCTTCCCGCTTACTCCCTGAAGCTTCTCTGCCGGTTATCCGTGGAGGCGTCGCGCCCCAGAGCCAGATCCACTCAGGGCACGGCCTCTGCTGGGGGGAGCATCCTCTGCCGTGGGGAGCATCCTCTGCCGGGGGGAGCATCCTCTCTCCCGACCGACCGAGGAGAGCGCGAGGCTCCGTCTTCCCAGGGAGACGTGGAGAGAGAGGCGGGCGCGAGGGGCGGGGTGAGGAGCCGAGGAGCAGGTGTGTTGCCCACGGACAGGGCACGTTAGGCTGGACCCGGAGGCAGAGGAGTCGGTCCAAGTTCTGTCACTAGATGGTGGTGCGTTTCGAGGCCCGTGATGTCGCTTCTCCGGGGTTTGGTGAGACGAGACGGCTGGCGGGACGGGAGCTGTGAGTGGCGTCGAGGACGAACGGGAGAGGCCCCGGGGTGCCGTGGCTGGACAGGCTGGGCCGCCTTCGCCCGGGGCTGGCGGGTGGGGAGGACAGCGCCTCAGGCCCCAGGGCGGGCATCTGTCCAGGGGCCTGACGCAGGCGCACGCCATCCGGGGGGCATCCTGGCGGCCCGGTCAATAGGGCTGCAGTGGGGTCGCGAGGTGCGTGGGGCCTGGAGGAAGTGGCAGGAGGTGGGGACACGGGCAGAGACAGGAAGAGGGGACCGAGCCCGAGGGTGTGGTCGTGGGGTGGGGGCTGGGGTGGAGAAGCCTTCGGTGCTGCCTTCCCAGAGTCGCCAGGACCGTGGTCCCCGGGGGACTGTGCGCTAGGAACTACCCTGGTTCCCGGGGGGCCGCAGGAAGCCGTGGGAGCCCCTCTCCTCACTCACGCTGCCTGCGCCTGCTGCCCGGCTCAGGGCCGCCCGGGGCCTCCGTGCAGCCGCAGCCAGGTGGCCTGGAGCCCCGCCTTCCGTGCGCCTCTGGATGGAGGGTGCCCCCGGGGGCCCCTCGACGTTTACGCATCTGGGCCCTGGCGTGGGGGGGGTGCGTGGAGAGACAGCGCTTTGCTCCCCGATGGCTTCGTTTGCAGCCCCGCGAGGGGCACAGTCGGGGACGAGCACCGTCCTCTGATGGCTGAGCTGCGTGAGATGCTCGCAGGCACGTCCCCCAGGGGCATGAAGCGGACGATGGAGAGCTGGAGCTGGCCGAGGAGTCTGACAGAGAACAGTGCGTGGTGCCCGGGACGGCTCTGGCGTGGGCGGCAGGCGGGCGCGGCCGCTCTGGCGTCTCACAGGGCCCCGCGGATGTGACTGACGTGATGGGAAGACACAAATCCACGCGCTGCCAGGCACCTCCGGGCCCCGTGCAGGCGCTTCAGGCTCCTGCCAGCAGAGGCCGCTGTCCACATGTCCTTTTTTTTTCCTAAAACAGGACAAGCTCAGCCTTTTTTTTTTCCCGTAGAGCTTTATCACGAGGCCATGTTTGCTCTGGAAAAGATGATATTGTTCATCCTTTTACAGAAAAGCCGTTTGTATAACGGGGCCGGCTCACAGGAGACACGCGCGTCCCACGTCAAGCTGTGCTGTTGAATGCCAGGAAGGAGGGCCTGTTGGGCCCTTCCTGTGCGCTTGGAGCCAGCTCACGGGACGGGGGCACCCAGACAGCCTGCAGCCCTGCTCCTCAAGGGTCTTGAAACCCTTTTGGAGAGACGAGACTTAAACGATGAAACAACTCAAGGCTTCGGAAGACAAGTAGTAAAACCAAAGGCAGGAGTCGTGTTGTTCCAGGAAGTTGGGGGGTCAGGGGTGCAGCAGGTGGAAGGCCTTAGGGAGGGGGGAACCCGGGACGGAGAGGGTGACTCCTGTTTCTTTTTCTTTGTTTTTTTTGCTGCTAGAGTGAAAAGTGAAATAATAATTTTGGGGGGATTGGTTGCATGGCATTTTGAAAGTGAAGCGCACGGGGCTGGCATTATCGCGGCGTGAGAACAGAAACTCCTGCAGTGGTCACCAGGGCGTAAAGGAAAGGACCGGCCATCACGCCAGCATAGTGACAGTCAGGCACAGCAGCTGCTTCTCAGTCCACGGTCGAGACGAAAGGGTTGCGTGTCAGACAGGAAAGCAGAAGATTTGAGACCAGAGCTGTTCCAGAACCTTGAAGATACAGCCCGAACCGGCATGTGAGAGGAGGGGGCCCGAGTCCGTGATCTCGGGCGGCTGGTGCATGATGGTGTTGCCACCGACAGGCAGACAGCCGGGGCCGAGGGTTGGCTTGGCTGGGGAGGCGTCAGACGCACCACGGTCCGTGTTGTCAGAGCCAGTGCAGGCCATGCGGGCCGAGGTCTGGAGGGGGGAGGTTGGGCGGAACCAGGCGGCAGGCGGCTGCGTTTAGGCACTGGGCAGTGGAGACGAGAAAGACGCAGGTCCCGGCGAATGCCACAGTGAGGTGACGGCGTCAGGAAAGGCACGAGGCACCAGGAGGGACGGGACTCGGCCGGGCAGCACGAGGAGGGGGGAGCCGCAGGGAGGGCGGGGGTGCGCGCACGAGGACCTCGGGGAGGCCACAGGGCTGGTGGCTTTGCTGGGGAGACCCAGGTCTGTCTGAGCCTCTCACGCAGGTGTCACTGGTCACCTGCCGCCCAGGTGTGAACGCCCAGGGGCGTCGGGATAGCAGCGGGCCTGCCTTGAGTCAGCCACGGTTCCTTCCCTGCCCAGTTCCTTCGAGTTTTCTTAAAGTGCTGGGGCGAAAGTTGCCGTGACTTTAACGAGGAGCTTGTCCTGCCCAGGCAGCGGGCGTGGAGTGTGCGCCCGGCGTGGACAGGCCGTCGGCCAGACGCTGGCCCGACCGCTGGGCTGAAGCAACGGCAGCTGCAGCCGCCGTTTGCGAGGACTTCGGTGGGTGGCCGTTGGGCCGTCGCCGGGGTCCACGTGCCGTGTCTGCGGCTTGCGTTCTGGCGGGTGCGGACACACTGGAGGTTCCGTGACGAAACAGTGCCGAGAGCCGAAGCGCCCCCCGTCGGCCTTGACGTCCGGTGGCCCCCGTGCCTGGCCCTGCTCCGTGGGAGCCGTTTGTGCCTGGCACGGGGCCCTGGGTCGGGGTTGGGGCCCTGTCCTCGCCTCCGCCCCCGCTGCCTGGGGAGAGGCACCCGTGTCAGCCGCCAGGCAGGAGGCCTGCGGCGGGCGCCCCGTGGCACCCGCTGGCTGAGCGCACGCCAGCCCGTTTCCTCACGCGGTCAGAACCCCGCGCTGCGCCCAGGGCCGCGTCGAAGGCTCGTGGCCCTCGTGACTGCAGCCGTTCACTCCCTGCGTCCCATGAGGAGCAGGGATTCCCTCTCCCCGGAGGCCTGGCTGGCCCCTTCCCTCATCTGAACGTGAGTCACAGCAGCCTGCCCACTGTGTGGTCCTGGCTCAGCGGCTCCTGCAAGTGGACGGCCGTCCTCAGCCCCGTCCCTGTCTCCGTGGGTACCGGACCCGCCAGTTGGGAGGAGACGCTGGCTCTCTGTCCAGTGGCACTTAGCGCTCTGTTGGTCGTTAATCAGTGTCAGATAACACCTGCAGGATGCAGAGATGATGTCAGCCTCCCCCAGAAAATGCTCACGCTCTCTGGTTGTAACCCCCGCGTTTTATCCCGAGGACGGTGAGGACTTCCTCAGATAACACACTTGGTGTGTAAGTGTCCCCGAGGCTCAGGCCTGTTCCTGTCTCAGAAGAAACGTGGGGGCCTGCGGGTGGGGGCGGGGAGCGGCCCACCTGTTCCGGCCGCGGTGCCGCGTTCTCAGCGCAGGGCGACGCCTCGCGCCCGCGGCCGCCAGAACCACTGCTGATGGAGCCGTGAGGCTGACGGTTGGGACCCTGGGCCTTCGGGTCAGACAGAACTGGACCGAACCTGACCCCGATCCCGCGTTTTCCACTGCTTTGCTCTCTGAGCCTGACGAGCGTTCGAACAGACCTGGGTCTCAGTCTGCGGAGCCGCAGAACGGAGACCAGCGCCGGCCTGTCGGGGAGGCGGGAGGGACGTGTGCCACGCCCGGAGGGGCTTCTGCGTCGGCCGTCACGCGGGCTGGCGCCAGTGTTGTGACTTTCACAGGGGGCGGGTGTGGGGAGCGGGCTGGTGCAGGCGCCGGAGTGCGAAGGACACAGTCCCCGAGTGAGTCTCCATCATCTGGCGTAATTGGTGACATATTTGGGCGGAAATAAGAAATTTAGGGGCATGAATGCCACCTAGCGCGTGTGGAACGAGGTAGCCACGTCTGTTTAAAACCCTGCGCACTCAACCTGCACCCAGAGGAAGGTCATGGCGCCGTCCGGGTCCACTGCGAACGGGAGACTGGGCGCCAGCGGGGCCAGCGCTTCGGCGGGACGTCTGGGCTGCTGACCGCGGAGACGCGGGGGCGACTTTGTTGATAGCGGACTGTCGCTAAGCAGGTAACCGATGCCCTTCAGGGCCTGTGCACCTTTCTCAGAGAAGTGCTGGCTCGCACGTGGTTTCACAGGTGAAATAACCCCCACCCCCCACGTGCCGGAGTCTGTGGCCTGTCGTTTTAGGCCGAGGCCCTTGGCGTCCGCCGGCCCCGGCAGGACAGGGCTGAGCGGCGGCCCTTGGGCGGGAGGCAGGGGCGCCCTGGCTCACTTTGGCCGCCAACGGGCTGCACAAAGTCCCCTTCAGGTCGGAAATGAGTGGGGAGCCCTGGGGACACTTGGGGAGCTGTTGCCCCTCTAGGCGCAGGCTGGCCAAGCAGCCCCAGGCACTGGGCTGCGCCGTGCGGGGCCAGCGGCCGTCGCTGCGGCCTCGCTTCCCTGGCACGTCCAGACGGTGCTGCCTCCTCCTGGGACGTTGCGGAGGGCCCCGCTTCACTGCGATAGGCCCCCCTAGGGTGCTCGTCACGCTCTTGAAACCCGAGGGGTGAGCTTCGCGGGCCCTGGACGGGGCGGGCGCTGACATCTGACACGTCTGTAGCACGCAGAAGGCGAGGCTGAGAGGCCACCCCGATCCCTGGACCCCGGACGCCCTGCCTTCGCGTGGGAAAAGGGGCTTCGGGGATGTAAGTTACGGGTCTTGAGATGGGGCGAGGACCTGGGGTTACGCGGTGGCCCCTAAATGCAGCTGCACATGTTCTCGTAAGAGGGGTCAGGGAGGGACAGCTGTGGACGGGAGGGGACCTAGTGACGTGAAGCAGAGACAGAGGTCGGAGTGATGCAGCCGCGGGCAACGGCGAGGGGCTGTCCCCCCAGGCCGCAGGGAGGAGCGCGTGACTGGCCCCCAACGTGACTTGTTGAGCTAACGGAATATGCGTGCGTTTTGACAAGGCCGGGATGACTTTAAACGGCTCAGAGTGTGTTTCGTTCTGCGGATCACGGCCGGCGTCGTGACTGCCCTCGGAAGTCAGCTCGGCTGGCGAAGAGGCCGCTGGGTTCCTGCAGCGCTTCTGCCCGGGGCCGGGGGTGGGGTGCACTGTCGCCCCACCGAGCACCTCCCTCCTGGCTCCTAAGCCTTCACGGCCCAGGCCGACACGCTGCAGTTTGTCCCTCTGTCCCTGCATTCAGCTGCTGTTGCCCAGCCTTCCGGATTCCCAGAGTGCTCCCCGTTCTGCGCCCCGGGCCCCGAGGACCGAGGACCGAGGACCGAGGGTGTGGGCGAGCGGCACTGGCCCGAAGTACGCAGGACGCCGCCCGTGCCTTCACCCGTCCTCCCGCTGTCGCCCTCCCACGTCTCCCACGGGCCCCTGGGGCAGAGAGAGCTCGGGCGACTGACTGGAGGTCTCGGTGCTAGGAAGCGGCCGAGCCGGGGTCCTAACCTCGGCCGTGGGCACCTGAGCCTGTCCACACGCTTAGCTCGTGGGGGCAGACGCGTTGGCATCTCCTGCCGCCCTGCAGGGCCACCCATACCAGGTAGCTAAAGACAACAGCACCTGTCCGCTCACGGTCACGCAGCGTGCGCCGTGCTGGGCGACGGAAGCTCACCCTCGCAGAAGCGGCCTCCCCACCTCATCCCCGGATTGGAAGTTCAAGAGCATGGCTTCCGCTGCCTTCGTTGGTCACAGCGGGGACGCGGCCAGGCAAGATTCGAGGGGACAGGAGGAGGTGGAAGACGGGGATTCTCTCTCCTGGCCCTCCGGGCACTGGGAACAGCGTCCCCCTCGGGAACTGGCCGGGCACCCGGAGCTTGTCGGCCCGAGCCGCGCACTGGGAAGGGTGGTCGCCTTGGAATCAGACGCCCGCAGTTCCGCGCGACATGGAGCGAGGTGGCCTTGCTGCCCCCTGAGCATCCCCACCTTCGCGCAGCTGCACCAGCCCCGAGGGAGAAACGTGTGCCCTTCCAGCCCTCTGGGGACGGAGGGCACAGAATGGCAGGGCCTTTCCGTGACAGAAACGGAGTCCCTCCTGCTCACACTTTCGGCTGGTTATAGAATTTAACCTTGAAACTCTGAGCTCTGTGGCCCGGGCAGAGCCCGCTCCAGTTCTGGGGCGCCGTTGGAAACCCGTTCTGGCACAGGGGGGCCCCTGGCGTCCTCGCTGGGCCCCCTGTGCAAAAGGGGTGAAAGGCGGAAACGGGTGCCTCACCCCCCCACCCCGGGCATCGTGCAGGGCCGGCCTGGCCAGCGGAGGGAGGGACAGGGCACTGCGCCCTCTGTGGGGGTGGCCCGCCTCTCGGGGAGACCCCGAGCCGGACCTCCTGGTTCCGAGCAGTCAGTCCAAGCTGCTGAGACCACGAGACTTGCAGGTCACTGGGTGTTTGTGCCCCGGAGGGGACTCAAGATGCCAGTTCCCCTCCCGCCTGGCAGTGAGCCCCGCGGGCCGTCCCTGTGCCCGGGCCCACGGCGCACTCAGCTGCCGGCGCTGTTCCCAGACGGCCCCCAGGCTTGTCCCTCGGAACCCGGGAGGCCCTCCGCGCAGGGCCCCTGGCCCCCCACCCCCTTGCCCTTCCTTCCTTCCTCTAGATGGTGCTTTCTCCCGCTGAGAGCGCGTGCCACGTGGGGGCCCGACCCGTCCGTCCGTCCCTGCAGAGCGTCCGCATGGCCGCAGGCGGGGCTGCCACGGGCCTCTGGACCTGCGTTCGCCCCGGGCCAGCGCCGTGGCGCTGCCTCTTCTCCCTACGCCACGTGAGCGGGACCGCGCGGCACTGCCTCTGTGACCGGCGCGTTCCGCTGAGCGTGACGTCCCGAGGGGCATCCGTGTTGTCGCATGCCGCGGGCTCCTCTGGACACGCCACTGCACGTGTGCGCGCATTTTCTTGATCCTGTCACCGTGCAGGTGTCGGGGACATTTGGGTCATTGCCACTTCTCGGCTGTGGTGGCTCTTTCAGACCCGGTGGGGACCAGGGTGGGGGTTCCTCAGAACCCTAAAGCAGCTGCCACGGCCCGCAGCCCCTCTCCGGTGGTGCATTCTGGTCCCTTCTGTAGGAAGCACGTTTTAAAAGCATCTCCGCTTGTTCCCGTAGTAAGTGCCACATAGCCTTTCGGTGCTTTTGTGCCTGTGAGGTTCATGGCCCTTTTCTGAGCAGAGACTGCGCGTGGTCACAGGGCCGGGCCGCCAGGGAGGGCTGCGGCCCCGGGCCACACGCAGGTGCTCTGCATCTCAGGTGCTCTGATCTCCACGGAGTCGGCTTCTGCAAAGTCAGTGAGGTGCAGGGCTGCTGCCCTCAGGCCCCCGCCGCTGTCCCCGAGCATTTGAGAAGGCCTGAGGTTCCCGGACTTGGCCCGTGTGGCCTGTGGTCTCGCCTCCTGCTGCTGGGAAGGAGCTGCCAGTGGGCGCTCCGCTGGCGCGGTGGCCAGTGAGTGCCCCGGCCTCTGCCCTCCACCATCGGCCACAGCACAAGTCAGCAGAAGCCGCCGAGGCCTGTGAGGCGGAGGGCGTGGGCTGTGGGACCGTCTCCGCCTCCCCCCGCGGGAAGCCGTGTCGGCGTCCGCACTGGCTCGGCGGCTGACTCGTCTGCGGTGTCCTCCTGTCCCTCTGGCAGCCTGCACTGGTCTGAGCATGAGTGGACGTGAGAGAGGACGTTTTTATTTCGGACGAGTGTGCTTAAAGGACATTTGCCAGCTTCATCGCTGGCAAGAAAGGCACATTCTTCTCTGCACAGGTCCCAGATGACACAGTCCCCGGTCCTTTTTCCAGCACCAGAAATAGAGAGCAGGCCGCGCCAGGAAAAGCAGGTGTTTTCCCCCCCGAGTCCCCAGCAAGGTCTCTAAGCCCTGGCGTGAGCAGCCAAGGGCGCGGAGACCAAGATGTCACTGTCATCGGGTTCTTTCTTCATTAAGCTCAACAGGGGACCGATTCCCCTTACTGCAGGTGATATATAGACACCCTGAATACTGTTTTTTAATTTAAGTATTTCCAATTATTTTGCAAATAGGGAGCTTATTATTGAAAGACTCATGATGAGATCTCTCAATAAAGCAGTAAGTCCGTTATGTTTATTATACTGTAAAAATCAATGTAATAGGATTACAGGAAGTGTCAAATTATAAAAACGAATCATCGTCAATCTCCTGACTCAGATGTGACTCATTTTAATTATCCTTTCCCTGGCTTTTGTATTAAACGTGTGCGCTGTGCTAACTGGAATTGCAGAGCAGCCTGGCTCAGCTGCTTTTTCTCCCCCCGCCCGACGTCACCGTGTCGTAGATGGTATCCATTTTTTATGGTCGCACTTTGAACTTGTTTCGTTTTTTTTTTTACCGGGGTCGTAAATGCGACGAACGTCGTGAGCATCTACAGCCGAACCCAACTGTGAGCAGTTCACAGCAGCGGTGGGGCGAGCGTCACGGTTCGTGTTGCCTGAAATGATGCTGCGTGTCGTTTCTGGCGCCTTAACTTTTTCTCCGTCACCACTGTGTGAGACGCATTTTGTTGCTGCGCGTAGGTCTAGTTCACTTATTCCTTCCTGTACACGCCCGGGTACACACTCCCGTGGATGTATACAGGATCTCTGCATGCACCCCAGGCGGACTATTGGGGTTGCTCCCGCTTGGGGGCTTTTACATGCGCCGTGCCTCCTCGAGCCTGCGTCTTGCTGCGGCGTTGGTGGGCAGGAGAGCACACCGTCGACGTGACACCTGTGGCCCGGTTTGCCTGGAACAGTCCGACTGAGGCCCGCTGTCCTGCTGTCTTGTCTGGTGGGAGCCCCCATTTTTTCCTCCCAAACATGGTCACCCTGGTCATAGCAAATGCTTCCTTCTCCTCCCTGAAACGGCGCCAGTTTACAAACACAGAAATTTATGTGGCACATTGTCATCCACACTTGTGACTGGCCAATTTTTTAAGGAATTTACATTTCCCATGTTACTAACAGGGTTGAGAACTTTTTCGTATACTTATTGTCCATTTAGAACAACAAACGTCTGGGGAAATAACTGGTTGAATCACTTTTCCATGTTTCTATTGTGTCATCTTTTTCTTACTGACGTGTCAGGAATGCTTTGCTATTCTGGATGTGATTCTTTTGCGGGTCACATGAATCGCAGATGTCTTCTCAGTGCGTGGCTCGCTTGTGCACTCGTACACTGGTGTCTTTAGCGGCTCATTCATAAATCAAATATTGTTCAAACTTCCTTTATCCCGTATGGTTAGCCCTTTCGCTGTCCTATTTAAGAAATCCTTCCTTGGCCCCAAGATCATGAAAATATTTTTATTACCTTCCTGAAGATTTATTGTCTTGCCTTTTCTTTCCTTTTTTTAATTTATCATTATTTATGCCTACAGCACCTGGTCTTCCTAGGTGGTCTGCCATCCAGTACTAACCAGGCCTGGCCCTGCTTAGCTTCTGAGATCAGACATCATTATTCAGGGCGGCGTGGCCGTAGACCATGGGCCGTGGCTCCACTGGGGCGCGAACCCAGGACCTTCTGCGTGGAAAGCAGACGTGCTGACCGCTGCGCTATGGAGCCGCGTCCTTGTTTGGCCTTTTCCATCTAGATCTGCAGTGTCTCCGATCCTGAATTTTTTGTGAGGGAGTCAACTCTGTTTTCCTCAAGAGGATATACAGTTCACCCAGCACCATTTATCGAAAATTCTACCCTTTCCCCTCACGGTTTGCTGTACCAGGTTGTCAGAAACCAGGTGTTGAGACGCGCGTTGCTAGGCTTTGTGTTCCGCGGCATTAGCCTCTTCGTCTGTCCTCGGAACAGCATCGCACTGTTTGATCACTGCGGCTCTGTCATAAATCACGACACGTGTCACCCAGCTGTTTCCTGCATGGCTTCTGCAAGGGGTCACCCTGAGGAAGTGTCCCCGCTTCTCAGGACATGCTGCGTCAGGTCGCGTGTTAACAGCTTGACACCGCAGTGGCAAGGCACGCGCTCTCTTCCCAAACTGCGGGGTATTGATCGCTTGTACCGGACTGGAGGGGAAACCTGTCAGACCCACAAGGTGACCGCGTGACACGCCCCCGTAGCACCGAGTGACTGAGGACGCGGGGTGAAGTGGCGCCTCTGCCCTCCCACGCTGGGGGGCCCCAGGACACAGCCCACTGGTGGGGGGCTCATCGTCTCCCCCGACCCCCGGATTCCCGGCGTTCGCACGCGTGGTGCACGGGAGCCACGCTGCTGGCACAGAGCGAGATGAAAAAATAAACCGCACGCGTCTCTTTTTAAACTTTTATGTTAAAGCTCTGATTCTTTTTCAATAGACTCTACTTTTAAAAAATAAACTTTCTTTTTTGGTACCTTCCATTTCCTGTGTGAGCCTCGGAAACATACAAAATACATCCCACCGAACTCTCCTGTGCAAATGAACATAAGCAATGGGGACACCTGCGCTGAAGACGCCACCCCAGGGCCACCACGGGCTCCCTCCAGAGGCGCCGCTAGAAGGGGCTGGCGGCCTGTCCGCGGGGGCCACAGGCGTCCTGGGGCGGCCCG